GAGCGCCTGATTTCACCACGCTGCCTCACAGATGTCTGTTTGAGGAACTCTGCTGACATGTCTCATGTACAAAACTAGAATATTGATAAGGGGTGTTGAATGATTGATGATTGACGGAAGAATTGTGTCAAAAACGATTGATTGAAATACAGATTGTAAAATCACCTGTTTGTATTTTTTCTCTTATGTATTATAGTTCTTTGGAGTTGGAGTTGGTAGTTGTGTTGTGTCTTGTTGTGTTGTGTTGTGTTGTGTTGTGTTGTGTTGTGGTGTGTTGTGTTGTGTTGTGTTGTGTTGTGCTGTGTTGTGCTGTGTTATGGTGTGGTGTGTTGTTGTGTGTGTGTTGTTTTGTGTTGTGTTGTGCTGTGTTGTGTGGTTTGGTGTGTTGAGCTGTGTTGTGCTGTATTATGTTGTATTGTGTTGTGTTTTTGTAATGATGTGTTGTTGTGTGTTGTGATTTTGTTGTGTTGTTGTGTTGGGAGTATTGACAATACTCATGTACCTTGAAATACTTTATTGAACAAATCATGGAATGTTGAACTGATGAGAGCACGAAGACTTTGATACAGGACTAGCCCACAGGACACACGAGTCTGTGACACACACACAGGACACAGTCTGTCACACACACACACACACAGGCACACAGACACACAGGCTATGACACACAGACACACAGGCTATGACACACAGAGACAGGCTATGACACACAGACACACAGGCTATGACACACACACATTGCAGTCTGTGAGTCCAACATAAAGGAAACAGTTGGCCCATAGCTCTGACAAAAAGGTCGGTAGGCCTCTCAGACAAAGGCGATAGTAAGTACGGCACGTCACAAATGAAATGCACTTTATGGAGGGGAATTAGTTTTGTGGGTTTTTTTACCACATCTTGGTCCTGTACCTTAGACCTTATGTCATTTTCTGATTGTTTACTTGACTTTTGCTGAAAGTTGACAATATTACACGGTTCTATTTTCCGTCTCCAATAGCCGCATTTTATTTTCTATTTTAAAAACTTCACACGAACTGTATTTATTTTTTACATTTTCCAACCGTGTCCACTAGCTGTATTTTATTTTCTACTTTCAAACCGTCTACGCTGTCTGTATTTTATTTACCCTTTATGACCGTCTCCAGTACATATATTTTTACAAATATTTTTTAGCCGTCTCCACTAGCTGTACTTTATATACTTTCATATAACTCTATCCACTAGCAGTATTTTATTTTCTACTTTCAAACCGTCTACGCGGTCTGTATTTTTAAACTGTTTAAAAACCGTCTCCACTAGCTGTATTATATTTTCTACATTAAAACTGTATTTTATTTACATTTTTCATAAGCGTCTCCACTAGCTGTATTTTTTTTCTACTTTTAAACCGTCTACGCAATCTCTCTTTTATTTACTTTTTTATAACTCTCTCCACTAGCCATACTATGTTTTATATTTTTCCAACCGTCACCACTAAATATATTTTTACAAACATTTTCCAACCGTCTCCACTAAATATATTTTTACAAACATTTTCCAACCGTCTCCACTAAATATATTTTTACAAACATTTTCCAACCGTCTCCACTAAAT